TTTACTATGTATATTCTGATTTATTAGATGATCGAATCAATCATTTTGGTTTTTGTTATAATCATGTCCAGCTAAATTTATAAGTGTTGGAATGTGAGAACCGTCGATTCGATGGTACTCTGAATTGTTGTTCTTTGAAAAATACTATTGGGACTATTTTATTTTTAATCACAACTTTTCTAAACTAAAAATTGTCGGTTACTATGAAATTATAACCATTTATATGTCGGGTAATATCGAAAGTCGTCCGGTTCAAAAGATTAAGGTTGTTTAGTTTTTAATTGATAAAAACCGTGAAAGCTATTTGTTAATTAATTAGGAAGATTGATATTTTAATAAAGTACTTTTAAACATATTTTCAGACGCGTTTGTAATTTTAAGGTATGGTTGGCCGACGCGAATGTTGAGAACCATTTAAAGTATTATTTTACAATCAAAACTACTTTTCAACATAGTAAAGAGTCTAATTTCTTAAAATAGATTTTTTTTCTACTTTAACGCAAGCAACATCTACCATCATGGCAGTGGACAGTATAATTTAAAGAGTAAAATCCGGTTCTGATTACGCGAAAGCGACAATTCCTGTTCAATTAATTCTTTTCAAAGTAGAAAATATTGTCCTATAGTAATTCAATTTATAAACAACAAGAGTATCAACAGATTGATGAGATCCATATTCCAACATTTGCACTTCTGTTATTAATTTAAGTTTATTATTTTATTCTGTTTTCACAACCCAAACAGTTATATTTATTCGCCTTGGATAAACAATATAACAATAAATAACGATAGATTTTACTATTAGGTCTATGTGGATTCGACACTCTTTATATTATTCCGATACTTTTCGTGCACTTTGGAAATACCCCATCCAAAAAATAGCATGTGGAAGCACGCAAAGTAGAGAGGTAGGTTGAAAATTTTGACTTGGCCAGCCAAGAATAGCAAGGTAAACAAAAGGGGTCAACCCGTTTTGACACTTTTAAAGACTAACAGTGGCATAAGGCCACACCTGTCTCGTTTAGGTCATCGTCTGTCAAAGCCTGCTAAAAAATATAATGAGGTGAACAAAGCAACTTAACAAATTGAAAACCTTGACTCGCCCTAAAAAATGACGAACTAAACATGTGGACCATCCGTTTTACTACTCTTACTAACACATATTCTTTTAGTAAAACTTTGTAAAAAACTAAATACTTAAGATTGTTTATGTTCTGGACTACCCCAATGACCAGAATTGACCAAATCCACTTCCACCTCAACATGACCCGAACAACTTTTCCCACTAACTCTGATCATTTGTCGAGTTCACTTGATCGACCACACTATAGAAATATCAGGGATTATGATGCCATGGTCGTGCATCTGCCCGCATCAACAATCGATTTCAAGTCTGCTCGCCACTCGTCGAACGGATAACCAGGAAGGCGCTCGAGACGCGTCTGCCCGTCATTTCACCCTTGCTCAAAGCAACAGATAGTTACGGGAACGACTGTTCATTTTGACCAAGTTATGATAGTTACCTATTCTCGTGGACCCAAATATATAGGTCCCAAAAATAAGAACCAATACGCGCCAAAGGCATTATATAAACTCTCACAATTGTGAGGGTCAAATATCCAATATTCATACTAAAAACCCTAATCTCTTTCTTGTATCTCTTTGCACCCTCTCTCATTAGATTGTCAGAGTGCCTTGCAAGTACACCTCCTCCTTCTCTCATATTTCCAGCCAAGCAGACGTCTTCATCATTCGGTCCATTTTCAGATTCTGATCAACTGATAAGACCAATTTAAAATATCAATTAACTTCTAAAAAATTATACAATTATATTAATTAACCATTTATTATATGGTTGATTTAAGTTAGTTCACAATTAACCAAACAACACTAAATAAAAGTAATATAATTTTTTATAAATTTAATATTATAATTACTTTTTTCAACGTCCACAAATTTTGTTAAGAATTTGTAATAATGAAATATGAAAGATAAAGAAACAAAAATTTGAAATTAATTTTTATTATATAAATTTACGTTAATTTTATTTATTAATTAAAATAAAAATATTTTTAAAATGAACAATTATTATATTGTATTTTTAAAAAGTAATTTAGTGGCTAGTCCTTACCTCTAATGTCTATAACAATTACAACTGAACTGATTTAATGAGACATATAAATAATATTAACTCAATTAAAAAGTTTACCATCGCTCTTACAATTAAAGTCATTCTAAAAATATATATAAAAAAGAACGGTTTGAAAAAGTAAATCGATCTTAAATTTCGGTCAAAGATAAGATACTTTATCTCATGGTAAAATAAAGGGTGCTTCGGGACACCGAGTCCTAACTGAAATCAGATAGGAATAAGTGTTGGTTGTACCGATCCCACCCAAACACTGACAAACGTCTCAATCAATACCCCTAGGATGCTGAGAAAGTAAGAAATAAAATAAAATATTTCCTACTTTGTTTTCTTGCAATTTTCATAGCACCACCAACTTAGCGTTTATGTTTAAAAAACAAATCAAAAGATTATATTTACTATATATTTTATAACTTTTTTCATACTTACACAACATCTGAACAATAACTAATTTTGAGATTTTTTGTAGACATAATATTTTTCCGTCCTTTATCTTTATTTCAGAGTCCAATTAAGTCTTTTAATTTTTAAAGTATTCAAATAATTTTTTTTAAATATTTAAAATGGAGCACGTTAATTTTTTAGTTTATTTTCGTTAGTGATATTGTGTTTTTGTTATTCATGTGAGTTATTTGAAGGTTGAAGTGGATAATACATGTCAATATCATTGAATAAAAAAGATTATATCTTAAGGATAATATCAGAAGGTTGATAGAGTCTGCTCAAAATCTTCAACAGACTACACCAACTCCTGCTCAAAATCCTCAACACACTGCACCAACTCTTGCTCAAAATCTTCAATACTATATCAACTCCTGCTCAAAATCCTCAACATGCTATACTAACTCCTGCTCAAAGTTCTCAAATGATTACACAAAGGCCTTCTCAAGGTTCTATACAGACTGCATCAAGACCTTCTCAAGGTTCTACACAGACTGCACCAAGGCCTTCTCAAGGTTCCAAATAGACTGCACCAACTCCAAATACTCAAGGAAGTCAAACATCTATAGGAAATACTGCTCAACAATCAACTATAGGAAGGCCAAAGAAGATGGATAGCACCTGTGCCTACAACAAAATTAAGTGTATCCAGAAATGTAGTTGGCCCAACAATAAGGAGGACTATCCCAACAAAAAGAACCACTCAGTCTTAAGTGTATTTGGAACCACTTAGTCTTGTTGTTTAATGATTTTAAGTGTCATTTTGTGTTATGGTTATGAATATTATTTTGAAATGTTGTCATTTTGGGATATTATTTTGTAATGTGTTTTGAACAAGTTTATATGTTAAAAACAATTATTTATTATGGTTAAATTTTGTTTTGAGCAATAGTTATGATAATTATGTGCATATCAATTGTGTGTTATGACAACTATGTGGAATGGTAAAATTTTGTCTTGAAGAATTGAACAAAGTTACACTGATATATTTTACTGCTAAAATGACACAAGATTCAACTGATACAAGCCAAATCATTTCACTACAATATAATTTTTCAAGGTTCAACTAATTTGGAAACTAATACAAACTTAAACATTTCAAATAATCATGAAAAAAACCAGAACTCTTAAAACTACAATAACAAACATCATCCAACATTTTCCCCCTTTAAAATCTTGTTCATCTCATTTTGAAGTTGATTCGTCTCCTTTCTTAATTCTTCATTTGTCAACCTAATTTTTCAAACTCCATTGTTACATCATCCAATTTCTTTGATAACTTTTCCAACCTTGACATTATAATTTGCCCTTTCTCATCTTAAATTTCCTCATAGAACCATTCAAAATATCCACACCCATGTTGCATTGTTCCCTGCCGTTTACAATGGATTATTCAAAATGTAACCAACATAACAATGGCTTATTCAAAATGTAATCAACATACATACCTTAAAATGAGAACAACCCAAAAAATATTTTGCATAGCTCTTTGCAGTTGTAGACCTACGAAGAATAACCGTGTCTCCGCAATGACAACTCAGTTTTCATGGAAGATTCGAGCTCATGAGCACACTGGAGTTCAGATTTTCATGGCTTTTCTGTTTCATGGATGATGAACCATAACATGATATCATGGACGATCAACCCTAATCTTCAATATTTAAGAATCCAAATCCATTTTACAAAAAACCCTAACGACTGAAACTGAAGAAGAACACAATGGTGGTGATATAAATGAAGAAGAACAACCATGTCATCTGCCACGTCGTCATTCACAAACGTCAGTTTGGATGAAACAGACAGAAAAAACTCAAGTGATATGTTTTAAATACTTAAAGGATCTATTTGAACATTTAAAAAAATTAAGGGATAAAAGTAGACCTCAAAATACGAGACGAAAAATGGTATTTTACCTTTTTTTAATAACTTTTTTTATACTATTTTTTTTTGAATTTTTCTCTTCTTCAAATTGTCTTTCTTCTTTCCATATGCTCTATCTTCTTTTACCATAGAATCTATAAATCTCCTATCTAAATATTCAAATCATCTAAATCTATTTTTCACCGTCTTATCTACTATAAATACTATCCTAACACTCATTCTAATAATTTTATTTTTAATTTTATCTTGTCTAATCTTGGTACACATTCATTATCCTTATTAGTTTTATTTTATATGAACAAAAAAATAAAAAAACTAAAACCACTTGTCCAAAGGAAGATGCGTTCTTTTCCAAAGGCAAGTAGCTTATCTCCTTTTCTGTTAGTGCTTCTTTTCTATCATCTACCTTCCCTCACTCACACCAAACTATAGTTGAACACCGTGAACACTACGATTCTTCGTTACTCTTTCACTTTCCAATCTCCCTAGCATTCTTCCGTCGCTTCCATTTCCTAGGGTTTCTGCAACCATGGGAACTGCTTCGCGGCAGTTCAAGATTATGCTCAGAAAGAACTGGCTCCTCAAAATTCGTCATCCTTTCGTTACTGCTGCTGAGGTTCTTCACTCTGATATTTCCTTTCCTTAATTTTCTTTTTCCAAATCCGAATTTCTCTTTATCTGCTCCGATCCTGTCTATAGTTGACCAATTCCGCGTTGTTGTTCGTTTCTCTTGATATGCACTTTATTTACTTTTCCGTTTTTCTTTGTTTTTTTGTCTACTGTTGCTTTTTTTAGCTTTGATGTCCAATTTTAGTAAGACTCTGTTTTATAAAAATAACAGTTGACCGATAACTGATAGCTTATAGTTTTTATAGTTGATGACTGATGACAACAGTTAGTTGATAAGCTAATTAGCTAGTGGATATTGATGCTGATGACTGATCCGGATGACTGATCGCTTATAGTTTTTATAGTTGATGACTGATCCGGATGACTGATCTCTTATAGTTTTTATAGTTGATGACTGATAAACTAGCCGATACTGTCATACTGATGTTGATGACTGATAGTTTGTAGTTTTTATAGTTGATGGCTGATGCCATATAGTTAAGCAAACTGAAGTGTGGTAAATTAGTGGTAAAATGACATAATTGTTTGCATTTAATAAATAATTATTTTATTTTAAATTAAATAAACTATAAAAGGTAAAAGTGGATTTTAGTTAAAATAATAAGGGTAAAAGTGGAAGAAAAAATGATAAGCTATAAGCTAAAATGCTATTTGAAATAACATATGAAAAATAAGCTATAAGTTAGTAAAATAAGCTATAAGTTTGTGATGAAAAGACTGTTACTAAACAAATCTTTTATTATCATATGATCTTATAAGCTATAAACTATAAATTAAAAAAATGTCATGCCAAAGAGAGCCTAAGTTTCCATGATGATTTTAATTTTAAATATTATTTATTTCTTTTGTGGTACATGCATTATGCATAGTGTATTTTTACTAAGCTTTTATATTTTAGGGTTTTGTGTCTGTGAAGAAATCTGTGAATGCCCAAATTCTGGTGCTTATTACTGAATATATGGCAGATTTTGCTCCCTGCGATTGTGTTGATGCTGTTAGCAGCTGTAAGAACAAGAGTGGATACACAAATTCATCCAGCTCAATCGTCAGTGTTTCTTTCCATCACCAGCTATCTGTTTATTTTTGTGTTTGTTTTCTTGTTTTGGTCAGTTAAATGCAGGGGTCTTTATTTTATTTATATTTTTAAAAGAAAAATTTGAAGTTGAATTCCACTTTGAGTATTCTTGTATTGAGACTTGAAAGAGTGAATGTAGATGGAATTGGCTTATGAGGGTTATAGAAGCAACTGCTGTTTCTTTCTGATCTTTTATGTTTAATATTTTGTGTGGATTAATGTGAATGTGGAAACGGAGCAGGCACATTCAAAAAGATATGTTTGTAGAAGTGGGGAAAGGTATATCCCCTAACTTTCAACAAGTTTTGGAATCCTTATTGGATAAGAGAGAGTATTTAGCTTTTGCACCAGACACCGAAGAAACAAGGATGATGATAGATGTGCTGTCGATCAAATTTCCGATTTTGAAGGTACCTACTTATTTGCGATTCATTGTATTTCAGTATATGCTATTCTAGGCTTAATTTATCCCTGAAGTGTTTGTGAAATATTATTTTGCTTTGCTTCCTTCAAATTCATGAACTGTATTCACCAAGTTAAGGACTTTAACGCGGCTTTTTCTGTGGGTCTTGCATACTTAAACCTTTTCTGTGTCTGCTCTGTTGCATTTTCCCCATTTTTAGTTGTTAGTAAGAGCAATAGGCTGCTCAGTTTCCTTTCACTTGATTTTCTGGAATATAAAATTCAATGAATTTTGTATTTGCATGGATATTTAAGTGCATTTTGATCCAAGCAAATATTTATTAAGATAGTTTGAATATTCAGATAGTAACTATTTAGATAATCTATCGTAAAGTACTTGTTATATTTGACAATATTTCATTTCATACAATACAAGTCTTATTGTGGAAAAAATTTGGTATTGAAGCAAGTTAACTAATGCTTGCTATTTTCTTATAATAGTTTGGTTTCTCATTGTGTCAAATCATAAAATTTTGTAGTATTTTATTGAAGGGGTGAGTTCAAATTTGAAAAAAATATCAACAATTGTTTTTTTCCACAGCATATAAACAAAATCCATTGTCTTGCCAAATTAATTCACTGCATTGATTGCTCCCTGCCCGTCTTTCATCCCAAAAATCATTTCCAGCTTCTGCTCCCCTTCCTCCATTTTGGAGTGTCTTCATGTAACTAAATGCGTGTTCAAGCAAGTACCTTAGAACCTTTATCCTTTCAAATTTGTACATTAAGCATACACATGTCTTCTCTATACCTTAGAACCTTTATCCTTTCAAATTTGTACATTAAGCATACACATGTCTTCTCTATTCTTCTTCCAAAAGAGTTGTCATTGAAGCTATCTGATTAAAATTTGGTTTCTATATGTAGCTTGTTAGTATTGTATACAAAGATGAGTTAGAGTTGGAAACATACATCCGGTCAGATGCTTATGGTACCTGTAATGACATAAGGTAAACTCCTTTTCTGGCTTGAAAGCTTTCTATATCTATCACCTACTGGAATAATATGCTATTGACATGATTCAGTGGTTGTGGGCCAAATCAAAGTAATCTTGTTACCAAAATATTTTAGAGTTCCGGGATATTGAGAATTAAGTTGCTTTGCAGATTATTTAATACTTTGCTAGTAGCCTGGGGGGTCCACCTTTTCTCTTCTCCCCAATTGTAGATACTTTATTTCTAAGAAAACTTATATTTCAATAAAATTTATAGTTTTATTGGACAGTATGGCAACATTTTTTTTTTGATAAGCATTTGATCTTATATAGTTGATATTGCCCAGTGAGAAAATGCTTTGATTGTAGTTTTGTTGACCGCGGGTGGTGGTCGGAGAGCCAAACCCGCATTGTCGGCCGATATTAACCATTGCTGTGAGCAAAAACCGCCGTGTATATCCTCCATAGTCACTAGTGCTGCCATGGCAGATATTATAACACTGTTTGATTGTATAAAAATAGAAATTATTCATACAATCATATAACTCTAAGTAGTTTTAACATCGTCTTCACATGAATCTTTATTATCTATTGTGTGCTCAACGCAAGATATGAAAATGTTTATTGTGTATTTGTTCGAAATTTGAAACTTTGTGAGATGCAAAAATATGGATTGTTTTTCTGTTCATTTTTATTCATTTCCTCATACCTGTGTAGGAATTGTTCAGATCCCAAAATTAAAGGAGCAGTTGTGTTTTATGAACAAGGTCCTCAGTCATTTGATTATAGCATACGCCTCAATCATACATGGGCTTTCTCCGGTTTTCCGGATGTTACAACAATAATGGATACAAATGGCCCTTTTCTCAATGACTTGGAACTTGGTGTTAGTGCTGTACCAACAATGCAATACAGCTTCAGTGGGTTTTTGACAGTATGGCTGCTTCATTCTCATCCTCATAATATGTTATTCATTGCTGTCTTTCTTCTCCCTACTTTATCATCTCTAGTAACTATATGATGAAAATAATGCACAACTAGTAGTATATTGCAGTGATTGCTTGTGGCTGTGTATTTTATTGTTGAAATGTATGTCAAATTATATCTTTTGTCTACTTGAATTCAGCACGGGGATTGCTACCATTTTCACTGAATGATATGAAGTTTCTTTACTTTGAGTTCTATCATATACTTTTTAACACATTTTCTTTTCTTTGGGATCTTTCCCTCTCTTGATAATTAGCATCTTCATCACTTCTATTGTGTACTCATGCATTGACATTTTCTGGTTTTGCAGCTCCAGCAAATGGTTGATTCATTTATATTATTTATAGCCCAACAACCTGAATTAAACTCAAATGCCGAAACTGTAAAGCTTCCTCTTCTAGGATTTAATGACACTGATTCCTCGCTAAAAGTTCCATGGACTCAGTTTAACCCTACTAACATACGAATAGCTCCATTTCCCACTCGAGAGTACACTGATGACCAATTCCAAGCAATAGTAAAGAAAGTCATGGGAATATTGTAAGTTTGTCTTCGAAACTTTAGTGTGTTATTAAGATTATATATTCGATAAGCTTTGTTGTTTAACAAGAGCTTGTATGTGCAGGTATTTATTGGGGTTTCTCTATCCAGTTTCTCGCCTGATAAGTTATTCAGTGTTTGAGAAGGTTTGATTATCTTATGTTTGGTATTGTGTGATTAAGCTATTCCCTTCATTATTTGTTTCATTATTTGTTTCATTTTTCTTCTTCCTATTTTTATGAACATTATTTTTTAATATTATAGGGATATAGAAAGCCAGCCTCTCTTGTCGAGCTTGTGTCTCAATTTATCAATGTAACATTTCAGGAACAAAAGATCAAAGAAGGACTCTATATGATGGGCTTAAAAGATGGCATATTTCATCTCTCTTGGTTTATCACATATGCTTTGCAGGTAACTCTTGCTATTCAATCTGGCTAAAGGTATTTACTTTTTCACACACAAACTTCATAAGGATTAATAACTAGACTTATTAGAATATGATCAAGACTCAAGGAGAATATGATCAAGACTTATTAGAATATTTGACCCGTGCTTAGTCCACTATTGATGACCTCAAACTTATGCTAGTTAGTGATGATATTACAAAGTATTGGGCAAGCTTGACAATATGTTCACGGTGTTTGTTCTTCATGGTATCCCTAAAGAATGTAGTTGAGTTAAAGACCAAACGTTAACAAATACTACCATCCCTACAGATGAAGAGCTAATAGATTGCCTTGTCCGAATATCCTTACCAAGTGATGACATTCATACTGCTTCTGAGTCCTCTGCTTTTGTTTCTAACTTTAGTAGCGGAGGACGTAGTGGACGTGGCCGGGGTCGAGGGGTACAAGTAACTTCTATTGAACTCATTGTAAGAAAGATGGACACACTCAAGATAGGTGTTTCAACTTACATGGCTGTCATGAAACAATGGCATTCTTGCATGGTGACTTGGAAAAGGGGATTTACATGGAGCAACCTCCCGAGTTTGTTGCTCAAGTGGAGTGTAATTGGGTATGTAAATTGCACAAGTCTTTGTATGGGTTGAAACGATCACCTCGGGCATGATTTGGAAGATTTAGTAAAGTGTTGCAATAATTTGGGATGAACTGTTGTGAATCAGATCACTTTGTTTTCACCAAATGCTCCTCATCAAATAAATATATTTATCTAGTGGTCTATGTTGATGACAGGGTCTCAAAATTTGAGTTGGGCCTAACTCATCCCTACAAAACCGGCTTGTAGGGTGAGGATTGCCTCCACTTATAAACACAACACAAGCCATATCTCTAAGCAATGTGAGACTAAATCCACCCCTTCAAAGCCAACATAATGAAGGTATTAGGGGCTGCAATGAAGGCAAGCCAAAGTGTCGCAATTAAAGCGACTAGGGGGGCCGCAAGTAAGGCGGAAAGTCCAACACACCCCGTCACGCTTGGGCCTCAATGAGCCCGAAGCGTGGACGATATGGAAAGCCCAACAATGGATCTAGGATAGGTTCTGATACCATCTCAGAATTTGGGTTGTGCCTCATCCCTACAAAACCGGCTTGTAGGGTGAGGATTGCCCCCACTTGTGGTATATACTAAAGGAAATTGCTTTAGTGCATGATTAAATCATACTGAAATTTTGTCTTTAGAAAACTCGTATACTTTAGGTGGTCGTGTTGTTTCCATTGCTGTTGGTATATAAACTCGTATACTAAGGAAATTGCTTTAGTGCATTAAATCATGTTGGAATTTAATTCGTCAAGCCAGTACTTTTGCGTGTTATCATTATTATATAACTTACGCTCTGATAAGTAGATTCTTTAGTTTTTTAGATTAAGAAATTATGTTGGTCTCATTTTTCTATTATTTGATCTTTACAGTTTGCAATTTCTTCTGCGGTCATTACAGCTTGCACCATGGATAATATATTCAAATATAGTGATAAGACACTGGTGTTTGCATATTTCTTCATTTTTGGGCTTAGTGCAATCATGCTGTCATTTTTGATATCCACCTTTTTCAAAAGGGCCAAAACAGCTGTAGCTGTTGGAACTCTGTCATTTCTTGGTGCCTTTTTCCCTTATTACACTGTCAACGACGAGGGAGTCTCTGTGTGAGTTCTTGTCCTTCCTAATGTTTTTAGTACAGATTTTCATATTTGAATGTAAATTTTATTCATTTGAGGTTGGCCACAGGATCTTGAAGGTTCTTGCTTCTCTACTTTCACCTACGGCATTTGCTCTGGGTTCTGTCAACTTTGCTGATTATGAGCGTGCTCATGTTGGGCTTCGTTGGAGCAACATATGGCGGGTGAGTTTTTGCTGTAGGGCCCTTTATCTTTGCTATCCTGTCCGAATTTTCTAAGACATTTAGCTTGCAGGAGTCCTCTGGAGTGAACTTTTCTGCATGTCTTCTAATGATGATACTTGATACACTGCTCTATTGTGCAATTGGACTGTATTTCGATAAGGTATGACTTTGTTTACTATTTGAAATTGAATACTCCCTTATACAATAGCCTATTTAAGTAATTGGACTAGAATTGAAGTGCGGCACTCCAGTGTCCTTATTATCTCCTATATGTAGCCTACCTATGTCTAGATGAAATCCAACCCTTTGCTACTTAGTAGGGAGAAAGAGGCATGTGCTGCTTGATTGGTTTAGTGATGTATTATTTATATAACTTATGGCTATGTGTGAAGACACTTAAAAGACCAACGAGTTTCATTTGTGTGTATTGAACACTTCCTACTCTAATGTCTCTTAGTAGTGTGTTCCTGTACAACATTAAAATTTTCTGGTGTATTTCTTATATTTCTTCATTGTTTTATTTCTAAGACAATGATGATACACACACATGTGTGCTTATGCGTGCTCACATACACATGATCGATTGAATGATGTTTTTTATTTATTTATTGAATGATACAACAATCATAATTATTCTCATCTTGAAGGTTCTTCCAAGAGAGTATGGACAGCAATATCCATGGAACTTTATTTTCAAAAAAGATTTCTGGAGAAAGAAAAAAATTGTAAATAATTGTTCCTCCAGTTTTAAAGTTAAAATTGCTGGTAGTAGTTCTGAGCCAGAAAGGAATCTTTTGGGGCAAGATACTACCAATCCTGCTATAGAAGCAATAAGCTTAGACATGAAACAACAGGAGCTTGATGGCAGGTATATATGATACACAACCCAAGTGCGTCAACTTAGTATAATATGATACACTGTCTTTCTTATATTTTTTTTTAATAAATTTTTTTAGGTGCATTCAAATCAGGAATTTGCATAAAGTGTATGATACTAAAAAAGGAGATTGCTGTGCTGTTAACTCATTACAACTGACATTATATGAAAATCAGATTCTTGCTCTTCTAGGTAAGTATAGTTGTTCTTGTTAACACATAAATCTGTTTTGTTTGTCTGTGAGAGAGAAAGAGAGGGCTCTCTTGCTCTATGTTGGGCTTGATTCTTCAGTTAATTCTAGTGATAGAAGGGACGAGCATGTTTTTTTAATAACCAAGGAAGTGTGTGGTTATAATGGGGATTGGAGTTGGGATATGTATCTAAGAACTTGGAGAACCTCTCTAAAAGCAAGATATATGTTAAGAGTCCAACATTGTATGGAATATGGCCTAATAATGTGTTTATAAATCACGGGTGATCTTCATCTTCCAAATCGATTTTGCAAAGGTTGAGTTAAACCCAAATCAAATTGTAAGACGGTATCAAAGCCTATCTAAGATTTGTGAGGCCACCTATTGTTTGGTCACCGCTATCAAGCCACTCGGGTCACGGTCCAGGTGTTTGGTCTTGGACGTGGGAGGTATGTTAAGATTCCTACATTGGATGTGATATGACCTGACAACATATTTATAAGTGCTGGATAGTATCCAATATCCATCTTACAAGCCGGTTTTTTAAGGGTTGAATTAAGTCCAATCTTAATTCTGAAAATATCAAGTGGAAGAACTAAGCCCCTTAAATACTCCGTCAAGCATCCCATACTACTCAATGTGAGACATAAACACCCATAATTTCCAAGTCCCTATCATAGAACTGTCTCTAAGTGCTAAAGTCCAGCGGCTACACTCTATGGCACTTTACTTTGGCCTTTCTGGTCATCCTCTCCCGTAAGTAGCCCATTCTGAGACATCACTTTACTTGGCCTTTCTGGTCATCCTCTCCCGTAAGTAGCCCATTCTGAGACATCACTTTACTTGGCCTTTCTGGTCATCCTCTCCCGTAAGTAGCCCATTCTGAGACATCGGCAACCAAATTTAGTGCCATTTGATAATTATCTATGCCCTTGGGGAACTCTTTCTTAAAAGCTAGCTGTCAAGGAGGAAGAATGAAAATAATTTTTTTCATATATTTCAAGAACTAAAAGTGAGTTCTTTTTTAAGGACTAAAACCTGAATGGGGTATATTACTATTAGAGTTATATCTTAGGATATGAAAAATCAGCACTAATTATTCTATAGTGCTGATTTTTCATATTCTAAAATATAACTCTAATCCTTAATTATTCTATAGTGCTGATTTTTCATATCCTAAGATACAACTCTGATAACTACAAGGATGAAATGAATGTTTTAAGTTGTTAATATTATTATTTATTATTATTATTATTATTGTTGTTGTTGTTGTTGTTGTTGTTGTTGTTATTGTTATTGTTATTGTTATTGTTATTGTTATTGTTATTGACTCTTTTGATTTGGTTTTATCTACACTAAAATTTTGGGCTAAGTTAATGCTCAATCGTTTTGTGTTTGTTTTTAAAGGACATAATGGAGCTGGGAAAAGCACGACAATATCAATGCTTGTTGGTCTTCTTCCTCCTACTTCTGGGGATGCTTTGATTTTTGGAAAGAACATTGTCTCCGATATTGTAAGTTTAACTTTTGCACTATTGCTACAACAGTGGTTGCTCATAGGCATGAATATCAGTAATTCTTAGCGTTTTAGTGAGCAAGACATTGGTGATACAATTTAGGTATATATGTATTGTTTTGCAGTAGTTAGAGTCTTAGTGATCAATAAATTTCTGAAATAATTGACTGATTTGCACTCTGCTGATCCACTATTTATACATTTGCACTCTGCTGATCCACTATTTATACATTCTTAGAAGTTAATATAAATATTATATAAATTTAGAAGGAAATTAATGAAATTGCTACTTCCTAAGAGCAAGTATAATATAACCTAAGTACATGGTTAACTATGTACATGAATATATTTGCTACAACTCCCAATAGTTACATTAATTCAAATCGTTATCATTTGCTTATTTTTCAAAATCTAAGTCCCTGGAATGATAGTCTGAATTAGATGAGTTTATAGGTAGCCAATGCCATGGCTTGAAAGTTGATAGTCTATTCTACACTTGACCCTGAAACAAACAAACACTTTATTTCTTAAATTTCCAGGTGGTTAGGCTATCCCTAACAACTACATACCAAAAAATAGATCTCCTGTCATTAGGAGAGTCTGGTCAATGAATAACTAAGTATCCTACAACCTAAGTATGGCCTCTGAACCATGGTTACTTCTAAAATAAATAGTGACGTACCAGTACCGGGTACGCACCCGTACCGGGTACACGTACCATACACATGGTACTTATGTTTTTCTAATTATTTTGTTTAGAGTGAAATTTGTGATTTTCTCATATATATTAATATAATATACTTATACATTTTAGTTTCTTTGTTATGGTAGTCTAACACAAATTTTTATTTTTTAAAATTTTATTATGATGTTTTGTTGAGAATTGAACAATTTAATTCTCTATTAATATACTTTATATAGAAATTTTTATTTTCTATTGACGTACATGTACCTTGATTTTTTTTAAAATGCCGTATCCCGTATCGGTACCGGCGCCGTACCTATGCATTGAGTTATAACGCCCCAATGGCCTTTTCAACTTAAGAAGTTTTCCCACTGCATCAACAACAAAGAAGATTAGTGACAGTGAGATAGTTTAGTTTCTCTACTAGTATTTTATATTTATGTAGCACGATGAATTTGGCAGTTATCATGCTTGACGGTCATACTGAATGGCCTCTCGCATGAACCTTATTTTTTACCAACAATTAGCATTCAGCATTGATATTATTTGGTTCACCGTAACAGGACGAAATATAGAGAAAAATGGACACTTCATTAGGAAATTGGATAATGAACAGAACCTTCATCAAACATATCTAAAACCAAACATATCTAAAACCAAGATAAAAGTATAAATAGGGGGTACAAGGTAGCCTTTGATGCACATCAATAGTTTTAGGGATTATGGAATATTTTACGCATTCCAACCTCATGTTCTCACACTAATGTTGGTCTTGTCCTACATATCTTTGGTTCTTTGGCTAGAAGCAATTTGAACACCATCTTTAGAGTCTTCAAACCACTCCATCTGTTCTATTTTATGCCTTTTCCAAAATAATGTAAACTATGTCTAGGTCTTGTTGATTCCTCGTGTTCCTCCATCAACCTTTGACACGACTATAGCATCCTCAATTGATCTTCCCGGCAATGAACCAAATTGCTAATGAGATATGTCTCTTGTTTCAATCTCCGCTAAGTTATTCTCTTTCAAAGCTTTATAGTACTATTCAAGAGTTTATTCCCTCTATAATTTGTACATTTTAATCCCGAACAGTATTAAATTCTTATTGCAACGGTTAGAATCCTAGAAAATAACTTTATAGTATATAGTAGTATCTTAGTTTATCGCATAAAATAAGTATAACTTTAGAGTATCTTAGATTATCTCTTAGGATTAGTTTCTATATTACTTAGATATTTTAGTGTTTTGTTTTTTGATTTCTATATTTATTTAGGATTAGGAGTTTTGTATCCCTATAAATATGGATTAGTATTTAGTGTTTTGTATCAAGTTACTCTCAAACTATTATAAAAATATTCAAGATTTTATTATTTTCTCCTTTTTTGAATCTAAAACCCTTAAATTCATCGTGGTATCTAGAGCTAGGTTTGTCCTCTTATCTTTCACATCGCTATTCCGCTGCTGCTAAACCTTTAGGGATGTATAGTTTCTTAAACTTTAGTTTCCTACATCTACTCCATCTCACAAAAGCTTACTGTACACTCTTCCTATCCTATACCCCTAAAGTTTCTTAGTTTTTAGGGTTTAGTTACATGGAGAGGTATAGGATATGGAGAGTGTACAATAAACTCTTGTGAGCTGGGATAATATATTCCCTTGATAAGATTTGTCTCTCTCAAATTTTCTCTAGGATTGATTTCACATTTTTTAATAATGTTTAAAATAATGTTTCTGTTGCTAAAAGGTGTAATATGTCTCTGTTAAGAAATGTGGTTGGGCCTAACTCAACCCTACAAAATCGACTAGACAACTGGAGCATGGAAATAAATGGTGGGTGGCCCTATAGCGGAAACCTGACAACAGGTGGCCCACCGGATCTTAAACGAGGCTCTAATACCATGTTAAGTAATGTGGTTGGGCCTAACTCAATCCTACAAAACCGGTTTGTAGGGTGAGGATTGCCCCCATTTATAAGGATATGCTCAGGCCATATATTGTTCGATGTGAGACTCTTAACAGTCTCAATTTGGTGGCTGAGGGAATTAATGAGCGGAGTGATAAGGAGGTTGTGGGATCCATCCCTACTCCTAGCATAGTACTAACAATTACAAACAATACTAACATTGGTTGTTTAAAAAAAAAGAATGTTTCAATTTGGATTTGATAATTTATATACATCCACTGTACAGTCAGACATGCTATGCTCTTCCAGAAATGTTTTTGTTACTTCCCCCCATGTTCCATGCTTGTTTGGTCTTGTGTCATTCATAATGTTGTTGTCTTGGTTTGTAGGATGAGATACGGAAGGTTTTGGGTGTCTGTCCACAACATGATATACTCTTTCCTGAATTGACTGTAAGTAGAAGTATTGTTTTTCATTCTCTGTACTGAAGCCAATTATTGTAGTCTTCATATTTGTTGATGTTGATTTTAGAGTTTGAATCATATCTGTTTTCTCCATAGCTAAATGCATGTTTGTGTTATACACCTAGTTTATAACCTGAGCATTTAGTGAGTGTTTTCTTTTTTATTTCATCTTCGCAAATTTTAAACCATTTTAGATTTGCATTACCATTACTATGCAGTTGACATGAGTCATGACAATGTAATCAACATATTCTTATAGATCTGTAAGCTATATTCATGTGCAATTATATTGGAAATAATTGAAACTGCATTTTTTATTTATTTTGTACTACTATTTTCTGTGTATATGTTTATCTTTTCCGTGTATATGTTGCCCTCAGTTTTTCCCCTTCCATCCAAAATTTCGCGGTCCACCACTAATGTATTGCCATTTTTTCTTTTATCAACAACACTTAGATGCAGTGTTGTACATTCACACATTTAAACAAATAAGGGTCCCTTCACTGATACAATTCTATAAAAAGATATATAACTGTAGGTTTAATTTCCGATTAGATTGATATTTATTATATTCATGAACACTTTTTTGTCTTACTGAGTACAATATGCCGGGTTCGTCTGTTGACTTTGCAGGTGAGAGAGCATTTAGAACTATTTGCTATATTAAAGGGTGTGGAGGAAGACACTCTGGAGAATGTTATTATTAATATGGCTGATGAGGTGTGTTCGGTAATTCTAAGTCTAAAAATTTAATCTTTATTACCAAATTCTATAAGTGTCTTTGAAAAAACTTGTTGATCATTTCAATGGAGTTGAATTGATTAAAAAATGTTAACTTATCTGTTGAAGATTAGTACATATCAAATCATAATCATTTGATTCTGATTTGTCAAGCTGTTACAAAACAATGGTGTAAATAGATTTATTATCTATTATTCTGATTTCCTTATTTAGGTAGCAGCAATTATAGGAAATTATTTCTCTGTTTATTAACAAATTAGTGTACTGTATTCTATATATACCTCACAATGTAACAGTTCCTAAATAAAATGAAATATACAACGTATTTCTATATGGTATCAGAGCATAAGATCTGAACCATCCCTAAACCTTGAGCACCACCCATGGCAGATACTAAAGCAGAAAATTCAGCCAACAGTTTGGCCGAAGGACATGCTCTTCCTATCACTGGTCACAAACTGAATGGCCAGAATTACAATCAATGGGTGCGCTCAGTCAAAATCTACCTTCAAGGAAAAGAGAAGGAAGGTTATATCACAGGAGACTCCAAGTGTCCAAAAAAGGGGGATTCCAACCTTGAAAAATGGCAACTAGAAAACAGTCTAGTAATGTCATGGCTGCTAAACACCATGACAAATGAAATTGGAGAAAATTTCTTGTACTATGATACTACCAAAGAGATGTGGGATTCCGTAAAGGAAACCTACTCTAATGTCGACAATACATCTGCAATATTTGAAATCAAGAGCATACTCCATGACTTGCGTCAAGAAGACCGCTCAGTCACAAAGTATTTTAATACTCTCAATCGTCACTGGCAGCAACTGGATGTATATGATGAAGCTGAATGGAGCTGCACAGAGGATAAAAAGAAGTACAAAGAATTGGTGGAGAAAGATAGAATCTACAAATTTCTCTTAGGTTTGAACACAGAACTTGATGAAGTTCGTGGGAGAATCCTTGGAACCAAACCTCTTCCAAAAATTCGAGAAGCATTCTCGGAAATACGAAGAGAGGAAAGCAGGAGAAAAGTGATGCTTGGAAAATCCAGTGCAGCCCCATCTATAGAAGGATCTGCAATGGCAGCAAGGGGAGATCATCGATCTTTCCAAAAGAAAACACGGCCATGGTGTGACCACAGCAAGAAACCGGGTCATACCAAAGACACATGTTGGATCATTCATGGAAAGCCATCAGAGCTAAAATGGAGCAAAAACCGGGACAACAGAGGGAACACAGCTGAGGTAAATTCTCACTCATCACCATTCAACAAGGAGCAAATGGAAGCCTTACAAAAATTGCTTCAACAAACAATTGGTACAGCTACTGTGGCACAAAAAGGTAATTTTTTGCATGCTCTAAACACTAGCAGGGGAAAATAAAAATCATGGATTATTGACTCAGGAGCATCTGATCACATGACTGGAGATTTGACTGTCTTTGATAGCTATTCTCCATGTCAAAATAATTCGACTGTTCGAATTGCTGATGGTACCCTTTCTAAGGTCATGGGTAAAGGTTCAGTCATTATTTCGCAAAATATTACTCTTAGTTCAGTACTGTATGTGCCTAAACTTGATTGTAACTTGCTGTCCATAAGTAACTTACAAAGGATTTGAAGTGTATCACTAAATTCTTTCCTAACCTGTGTGAATTTCAGATTTTGGAGTCGGGGAGGACGATTGGCAATGCTAAAGAATGTGCTGGACTCTATATCCTTCAGGCTGAAGCATCTAAACCAGAATTCGAGGCAACCTCTTGCGCTGTAGTTTCTGCATGTAGTGAAAATTCTGCAATGCTGTGGCACTATAGACTAGGCCACCCAAATTTTATGTACTTGGAAAAAATGCTTCCTAAACTATTCAATAAAAATCAGAAGTTGTTTCAATGTGAAATTTGTCAATTGTCCAAACATACACGCAGCCCCCACCCACCTCAACCCTATAAACCTTCCCAACCTTTTTATGTTATTCATAGTGATGTATGGGGACCATCGCGGGTCAGAAATGTAACTGGAGCAAGATGGTTTGTCACATTTATTGATGACCACACACGGATCACTTGGGTCTACCTTATGAAAGATAAATCGGAAGTTGGTAGGATATTTGAATGTTTCCATACCATGGTGCAAACACAATTTCAAAGCAAAATTAGAGTGCTTAGGAGTGATAATGGTCGTGAGTACTATAATTCTGCACTAAGCTCATACTTTACGCAACATGGAATAATACACCAAACCTCATGTGTGGATACACCTCAGCAGAACGGGGTTGTCGAGAGAAAGAATAGACACCTCCTAGAAGTAACCCGATCTCTCATGCTAGCTACAAATGTACCTAACCAGTTTTGGGGAGAAGCTGTCCTCTCTGCAACCTATCTAATAAACAGAATGCCTTCCCGAATCCTTAACTTTCATACGCCTTACTCCACTCTCCAAACCTTATACCCAACCAATCGTATTCTTACATCTATTCCTTTGAAAATATTTGGATGCACAACCTTTGTTCATAATCTTGATCCCCAACGCAGTAAACTTGACCCGAAATCCATTAAATGCATATTCCTCGGCTACTCTCCTCACCAAAAGGGATACAAATGTTATTCACCTCAAAACAAAAAATTCTACCACACCATGGATGTAACCTTTTTTGAGAATCAGCCATATTACCCCAAAGTTGGCATTCAGGGGAGAACACATATCCAATTGAAGTGGTAGAATCCCAACTTTTGGAACTTGAGCTAACTGAACCCAAACTCACTGCAGAGACATCAAAACCTACACCTGAACCAAATGAAAATGCAACAGAAACTGCAGAACTTACATGTGGACCAGAAGAAACTACGTTAGAAAATACAGAGGAAATTGCAGTAGAAACTGCAGCCCCTACAACAGAAACTGCACCAGGAAACAACATGAAAGTGTACTCCAGGAAGAACAAGAAGGGAATAGAGTCCTGCACAACTCCAAGGCAGAACCAAGAAACCTCCAAGACTCCAGAAAATGGCGTTCCCTCAGGTAATACTGCTCCTAACTCTGAATGTTGATATTGATATTCCTATTGCGTTGAGAAAAAATGTAAGATCCTGTACCAAACATCCCATTGAAAGGTTTGTATCTTATGGAAAATTGTCCCAAAGTTACAAGACTTTTGTAACAGCTCTTGACAATACACATATTCCAAGCAACATCCATGAGGCACTCCAAAATTCTGAATGGGCAGCAGCTGTAACGGAAGAGGTTCAGGCCTTAATTAAGAATGGCACTTGGGAAATCACAAGCCTACCTGCAGGGAAGAAGCCGGTAGGATGCAAATGGATATTCTCCATGAAGTATAATGCAGATGGGAGTGTAAATCGGTACAAAGCTCGACTTGTAGCAAAGGGATTTACTCAATCATATGGAGTAGATTATGAAGAGACTTTTGCACCGGTGGCAAAACTAAACTCCGTTAGAGTTATTCTCTCTTTGGCTGCAAATTTAGATTGGCCACTCCATCAACTAGACATCAAGAATGCCTTCTTAAATGGTGACCTAGAAGAGGAAGTTTATATGCAGATTCCTCCTGGACTCGAATCATCCAGCACCGCAAATATGGTGTGCAGGCTCCGAAAATCCCTTTATGGCCTCAAGCAGTCCCCAAGGGCGTGGTTTGATAGATTGACTCGAGTTGTCAAGAAAGACGGGTTCAACTAATGCCAATCAGATCACACTATGTTTGTTAAACACTCCATGGAAGGAAAGGTAGCTTTGTTTATTGTTTATGTGGATGATATCGTTATTACAGGAAATGATTATGATCAAATTGATCATTTAAAGGGACTCTTGGCAAAGGAATTTGAAGTTAAGGACTTGGGACAACTTAAGTATTTTTTAGGGATGGAAGTTGCTCGAACAAAGGATGGTATCTATGTATCACAAAGGAAATACACCCTTGACTTACTTCAAGAAACTGGAATGCTTGGGTGCAAGGCAGCTAATACACCAATAGAACAAATAAAAGGAAGAGAAGATGAAAGTCCACCAGCCGACAAAGATAGATATCAAAGTCTAGTTGGGAAACTAATCTACCTATCTCACACTAGGCTTGACATTGAGTTCGCTGTAAGCTTGACTAGTCGCTACATGTCAAATCCAACCGAGTCTAACATGAAAATGGCGAATAGAATCCTCCAATACCTCAAAGGCACACCAGGTCGAGGCCTCCACTTCAAGAGAAATTCAAACAGGGACATTGAAGTTTATACAGATTCAGATTGGGCAGGATGCTCCACAGACAGAAAATCGACTACAGGTTATTGTTCATTTGTGTGGGGGAACCTAGTAACTTGGCGAAGCAAGAAACAAACTGTAGTGGCGAGGAGTAGTGCAGAAGCAGAATTTAGAGCTATGGCCCTAGGTATTTGTGAAGGAATGTGGCTTAAGAGCATGCTAGATGAAATCAAAATTCCAGTGAACCATACTGTGAGGTTACTATGTGATAACAACGCTGCTATAAGCATTGCAAAGAACCCAGTCCAACATGATAGAACAAAACATGTGGAAATTGACCGACACTTCATTAAAGAAAAAATTGATCATAAGATTATAAGTATTGATCATGTCCCATCATGCAAGCAAACTGCAGATATCTTAACCAAGGCTCTTCCAAGGAATACTTATGAAAATATCAAATCCAATCTGGGTATGATAGACATCTACCACCCAGATTGAGGGGGAGTGTTGAAGATTAGCACATATCAAATCATAATCATTTGATTTTGATTTGTCAAGCTGTTACAAAACAGTGGTGTAAATAGATTTATTATCTATTATTCTGATTTCCTTATTTAGGTAGCAGCAATTATAAGAAATTATTTCTCTGTTTATTAACAAATTAGTGTACTGTATTCTATATATACCTCACAATGTAACAGTTCCTAAATAAAATGAAATATACAACGTATTTCTATAATCTTTTTAATTGATAAACTATTTTTTTATTTTCATTTTTTGAAGTTTCAGCTGTGGAGTTTCAATAATTTGTTTACCATAAAATGAAATTCTTAGAATTTGGATTGGACCTTACTCAACCTTACAAAACCAACTTATAAATTGAAGAATGCCTCCACTTATAAACATGTGTTCAGCCTATATCTCGTCCTATATGGGACTTTTAGCATACCCCTTACGTCGAGGACTCATCCAATGTGGGACTCTTTACCACCCCTCACGCTGGGATGAGGGATGAAACATCTGGAGCGTTACCCGAGTGGCCGTTAGAGGCAACCTAATAGAAGGTAGCTCAACGGATCTTGATTAGACTCTGATACCATCGTAGAGTTTGGGTTGAGTCTAAGTGTCTAACTCAACCTTACAAAACTGACTTATAAAGGACGATTCATTTTCCCTTGTTTTTAATAATACTAAACTCATAATCCTAATTAAACGAAGAAACTAATCATGACAATTACTAGGATACTAATCAAGTAAGTTTCCCTTTATCAATGTAAACATTATCCTGCCTCCCACTCCCCCTTTACTTTTTCCTTTTAACATTTTGCTCTGTTGGTTAAGCATTGGATGTTAGATAATTTCTATTGCTTGAACAGGTGGGCCTGGCTGATAAAATCAACAATGTTGTGAGATCTCTTTCTGGTGGCATGAAGAGGAAATTGTCTCTTGGAATTGCATTAGTTGGAAACAGTAAGGTAGGACACATTGACAACACGTGATTTTGTTTTCATATGTTGAGCAGAACTGAAATGTTTGGACTTACTTGGCAGGTTATAATTCTTGACGAGCCTACAAGTGGAATGGATCCATATTCAATGCGATTGACTTGGCAGTTAATAAAAAAAATTAAGAAGGGCAGAATAATTTTGCTTACAACACATTCCATGGACGAAGCAGATGAACTAGGTGACCGGATAGCCATCATGGCCAATGGTTCTCTGAAATGCTGTGGAAGGTTAAATTCTATTTTCATATTTTCTTACATACTATACACACTGTTGAACAAATGAGATTTTTGTGATTTGAGAAACTTGCAACAAAGTGTATAGAACAGAGGAAGTTTCAGGAACTGAAGAAGACTTTTACTAATATTATATGAGCCTGCAGTGTGAATTTCAGACTTTTACCATTGCCAATGAATATCTGATCTGGCCCCTCAAAAGTTTGTGGTTTTCTGAATATTTGTCCACCACTAGTCACATGAAATGAGGACCCTGTGTTGGGGAACCAACTCTGTGCTGGTTGCGCAGATTAGCTAGAAAGCATAGCTCGAGGATGCTGAAAATTAGGAGCTGAAGAATGCCGTTATTAAGGAGGAGCAGCAATAAGCCAAGGTGCAGTTAAATTCCCATTACCAGGTGTAATGAGCTGTGAATTGGGTGGTTGTTGGAACCTTTGTTGAAATCCAGGCTGAAAAACTGTGAAGTTCAAGAGTGTAGGATTGCAATTAGGTTGACATTGCTCTGATCAAACCTATGGAAGCTCACTGATATTGTGTTATCAAACTTGAACTCACATGACTTTGAAGTTTGAACGACATTTTCCACGGACAAAACAACCGCCATGGCCTCAGAAAAAACCACCACGAAAGTTAGAGATCTTTTGTTGACTGAACTACCGAGGAAAGTTCTAATTGGATGAAATGTAACTGGAAGAGCTATTCTATGTTAATTATTCTTTTTATTTTTCAAAGGAGGATAACCAACCTTTGTTCATAAATTCACACATAAAATATAGTACACAAGCCCAAGGCCAATATTTTCCTAGAGCTACAGGCCTATGGCCTAAATAAAGCACACACACGCGCATACTAGCACGCACGCTATCTTTGATTTTTCAGATTAGTAAATTTCATGAAATTTTATGGTTCAGTTTAGCTTTGAACTCAAGAGAAATCCATAAAACCTTATAAGTTCTTGTTTTTTGTTATTCAAACTTGATTTCTAGAAGCAAAGTGAAAAGTGCGTTAATCTTTTTTTCTTATAATATTGATATACCTGTACTATATTACTAGAAAATAGGTAAAAACTGTCGTAATTTTACTCTTCAGCATTAGTTGGTAGTTATAGGGATATTACAACCTAATTATTTTCTTAAATTAAAGAGAATATTAACGATAGAAAATAAGCAAATACTCTGAAAAAACTAGCAAATATTCTAAATATAGAAAATATTTCAACATATATGATTCTCTCTCTCACTCCTTATTTATTATGGCATTTTGGCAGCTCCCTTTTCTTGAAGCATCATTATGGAGTTGGTTACACTTTAACTCTTGTGAAGGTTTGTTCTATTTGTGAGCATCTTGTCGTTGATTCCTATAGTTTCTGTTTCATTATCTAAAGGTTGTTTTTATTTGGAATTTTTATCTGTGATTAGTCTACTCCTGCTGCTTCTATAGCTGGTGATATTGTACACCGATATATTCCAACAGCAACTTGTATAAGTGAGGTATTTTTTTTCACTCTTTACTTCATTTAGACGCATGTTAATATTAAACTCTTCAAATGCGTGCTTATTTGTCACTGTCAATGTAGTGTTCAAAAATCTGTGGTAGTGTTCCTTCATGGTTCTTTTTCCTGCATTATTCTGTTTAAACTTGATTTTTTTGGACCTAATTCAACTCCACAAAATAGGCTTGAAAGATGATGTTTGTCTAAAGCATAAATCGGGCCGTGACTCTAGGCGATGTAGGAATTGTTTTTTTTTTCCTTTATATTTATGTGTGCATTTATGAACAAAGGTTGGTTATCCTCCTTTGAAAAATTAAAATATAGAATAGCTCTTTCAAGAAGGTTGACCCAAGAATCCAAACAAAAGGCACAACTCAGTAAATTTACAGGGGCAAATATAATTATCATTCAAAAATAGCAAAAAACAAGCAAATACAAGCCTGTAGCGCTCCTCTCTCTTCATGAAGCCTTGGGACAATCCTCACCTTACAATATGGTTTTGTAAAGTTGAGTTAGGCTCAACCACAATCCTAAGAGATCGCAACGAAGTCAACTAACCTTGAACAAATACATTCACTATTTCAATGGCTGGTTTGGTTTTAAATATATTTAAGTTAAGAGAGTTATAGATCAGGAAGGTGGAACAAAATATATAAAGATTTTGAATTTTGATTTCTTTTATAATATAAGATATTCTTAATTAATTTAAGATAAGTAAAATATTATAATGATTCCCATATATTTTAGAGTTTAAGGGTTTGCTTGGGAGTTTAGAGGGGAGGTGAAGGGAGAAAATGATTTTTTTTAAAAACATAGAGAATTTTTTAACATTTTTTGAAAAAAAGATTTTGTTTAGAATGATAAAATAATGTTTATCATTAATGTATTTTTAATTTTTGAAATACTATAACAAAAAAAATAATATTTGAACAAATTGTCTAAGCCCTCCAAAATCCTCCAAAGCCCTCCTCCAATATAATTTTTGAGTTCTCCCAAATTATGGAGTTTTTGGTGTTATGAAGAAAAAGAAATCCTCCCAACTAAAATCTTTCTATTTTTTTCATCCAATCCTTCCTATTTTTCAAAGTCCTCCCCTCCCTTCCCCTTCAAACTCTCAAACAAAGCCTAAAGATAGTGTACTGGCAGTGTAAAGCAATATTACACAGACATCCAATTAAAACCTTTAAATTTGTCGAGTCATATCAGTATTTTAAAACTAAAAGCGTGATTTGGCGGGGTACGCGTCTCTCCTTAGTTGATAGTGTACAATATTTTTTGTCAAGGCACATTCTCTTTTCTCTATATTTTAACACCTCCCATCAAGCTAAAGTTTTCTAAGCTTTAATTTTTTAAAAAAAAATTACTATGTGGAAGAATCATAATATGGAGCCTAATCCTAGCTAGGCTGCATTATAGCCCTCAACATTCACCTACAGATACAAAAAAATTATTAATAAAAATAACATGAAAGAATAGAAAGAAGAGCATGGGGCCACACACACACACCAAATCTTATGCAGCATTATTTAAATCTAAAATTTGGAAGGCCTACCGTATTGCAAATAAATACGCCGGAATGAAATCAGAACTTAAATCCCGCTAAAGCAAGCCAGAAATAGAAAGTTTGGAAGAAGTTATTTATCTGCACAACTATTGCCTTATCAAAATGTGTGAAAAAAATCACATTCATTTTATGGAGCTAACTGCAAGCAGTTATGCCCCCTATTTCTAAGCTGCCACGGAATTATTGTTTCAGTTTTAAAATCTTGGATGATTAGCTAGTAATCACATTCATTTATTTTTGTGAAAGATTTTATTGTCTGTCTCATTTCATATGATGCCCGTTAAAGTTAAAATTATACAGTGGTGGATTTGAACATTATTTTGAATTTTTAACAGTGCCTTTGGTCATGCTTAATAAAGTTTGAAGTCAGTTTAAAAATTAAATTTGATTCTAAGCTTTCCCTTTCTAGTTATACTTTCAATTATATTTATTGATTACAATTTATCTGGTTTTATTGGATATTGCATTTCCAGGTTGGAACTGAGATTTCCTTCAGACTCCCTATGGCATCCTCCTCAACCTTTGAAAGGATGTTCAGGGAAATTGAAGGTTGCATGAAAAAGCCAGTTTTAAGGATGGAAATAAGTGGCAGTTATGAAAAAGACTGTCACGGTATTGAAAGTTATGGTATATCTGTAACAACCCTTGAGGAGGTATTCTTGAGAGTTGCTGGATGTGACTATGATGAAGTTGAATGCTCTGAAGAAACTAACCGCTCCCTTATATCAGAACCTGTAGTTTCTCTTACTTCTGATGATCGTCCATCCACAAAAATATGTTATTATAAAGTTTTTGGAAATTATAAGAAGATTATTGGCTTCATGTCTATGATGGTGGGGAGAGCTTGTGGTTTAATATTTACTGCAGTTATTAGTTTTATCAACTTCATAGGCATGCAGTGCTGTAGCTGTTGTCTCATTACTACGTCCACTTTTTGGCAACATTCTAAAGCTTTATTTATTAAGAGGGCAATATCTGCTCGCAGAGATCACAAAACAATTATGTTTCAACTAATAATTCCCGCTCTCTTCTTGTTTATTGGTCTTTTATTTATGGAGCTCAAGCCACATCCTGATCAGATTTCACTGACTCTTTCAACTTCTAATTTTAATCCTCTATTGAGCGGTGGGGGTGGGGGTGGTCCAGTTCCGTTTAACCTATCTTTTCCAATTGCAGAAAAGGTTTGTCACCGATTGTTGGAGCATGTTTTATCTTTTCTCTGTAGTCTTAGACTCACAGCTGCTTAAAAATGCACTCTGGTGCATCCTGATGGACTTTTTATCGGACTTTTTATTATGATGAAGGTAGCACAAAATGTCAAAGGAGGTTGGATTCAAAGTTGTAGCCCAAGCTCATACAAATTCCCCAATTCAAAAAAGGCATTAGCTGATGCAATGGAAGCAGCTGGGCCAACTTTAGGACCTTCTCTACTTTCAATGAGTGAATATTTGATGTCTAGCTTTAATGAATCCTACCAATCTAGGTATAAAAATCTGAATCTCTTCTTCATTCTTAATTCTCATTTACTATCTTTTAACTGTCAAGCAATACAAAAATCATTAGCATATGGGTAGTTTTTTGTTTGTAGCTCAACTCAGATACTGCTACTTTATGAATAGGATCAAAATTGATTTGGGGCATCCGTGAGGATCAGGATAAAATATCTGTCCAATTTTTTTCCTTCTGATTTATAATAGGAGGGTCCATACTCATTTGAAAATAATAGTTGATTACAAAAAAGAGAGGAAAAGAAAACCAAACTAGTTCATCAAGACAAGAGAACTCACTTAGATTTTGACCTGATTTCATTTTATAACAAGTCAACTCTTTAAAAAACTTAATACAAATCTTATGACAATGACAATACAATTTACTTCATTGCAGTGTATTTTGGTATGCAGGTATGGTGCAATTGTGATGGATGATCAAAATACCGATGGAAGTTTAGGCTATACTGTATTACACAACTTTTCTTGTCAGCATGCTGCTCCCACCTTTATCAATTTGATGAATTCTGCAATTCTTAGGCTTGCTACTCATGACATGAATGCCACAATTCAGACACGCAACCACCCTCTACCAATGACACAAAGCCAGCACTTACAACGTCATGTACACCACAATTTTTTTATTTTTTATTTTATTTTAAAATTTCACAAAAGCATCATGATGCATGTTCCTATTAGAAGTGGCAATGGCTATACTTTGAGATTCTTTATACATCACATTATTTATTGTATTTCATTCATATTCATCTTAATTTATTCTTGTTTAGATCTGTCGTCTATTAGAGGGATGGCCAAATGAGTCTTGCAAATCTTGGACAATCCTCATCTTTAGTGCTAGTTTTTGGGGTTGAATCTCATGTCGACTAGAGGGATGGCCAAATTAGTCCTTATAAAGCTTGGACAATCCTCATCTTTTGAGCTAGTTTTTGGGGGTTGAGTTAGGCTTAAAATCCAAATTCTAAAATCGTATTGGGGCCTATCCTAGATATGTTATTGGGACATATCTAAGTACTGAGTGTGTGGGGGTGCTAAGATTTTTGTTACCGGACCACTCATATTTGTCCATGCTTTACATGTCCAATCCTGAGCATGAGTGTTGAGATCCCACATTGACTAGACATATGACCAAATGGATCATTGCAAGGTTTGAGCACTACTCAACTCTAACGCTAGCTTTTGGGGTTGAGTTAGGCCTATAGTCTGAAGTCTAAGAGTTATTTTATAGTGCATATTTTAACATATAAATCATGTGATGCCTTGTATTAGTGTTTTGTTATATGGTCTCCTCCATGCTCTTTAGAAAATCAATGATTTGATGAGCTGTATATTAAAACTTGTAGGACCTTGATGCTTTCTCTGCTGCCATCATTGTCAACATAGCCTTCTCTTTCATTCCTGCCTCATTTGCTGTTTCAATTGTTAAGGTGAGTTGTGTTACACTGCTTCCAGCTTGTCATTTTCAAGTTCGTTTAGTTGTCCTAAAGTCTACAAATGAGAATTGGGAAAGCATGTCTGTAGTCCATCATCCTTTTTTCTTCTTTCTAAAGGCGTGTTTTATGGTTCATTTACACGTTTTCTGTTTTGGGAAACACCCTATACATTTACGGGGCTGTTTATAGTCTTTTACTGTTTTTTGCTGAATCATATAAATTTAGGCGGGGAATGAAGAAAAAGGGAATAAAAACTAAACACAAAAAAACAGCCTCCAAGTCTTTAATCTCTAGGTGGGGGCAATTATATGGACCTAATATACGACATAACTTTAGAATAAAATATAGGGTGTGTGTCAGAAATTTTGCCTTCATTGCAGTTCGCCCCCACTCGCCTTATTAGGAAACTTGCCTTCATTGCAGCCTCCAACATCTTCGTTGTGTCGGGTTTGAAGGGGTTGATTTAGTTCCACATTGCTTACTGAATAGAGTACCATAAGAGAGAAAAGAATAAAGCAAAGTATGTATTTCATATATTGATCAAATTAACAATGAAAAAATACAAAGGCTCTTGTATAGAGCAGCTAGAATCTAATCAATTTTTACACATCAACATAACAAACTAACAGAATACAGCTGACATAACTAACATACACTAAGCCCTATTTACTCTATTATTCTCTCTTAGAAACTGAGGATGCATCAAGCAGACTAAGTTTGTTGAACATTCTCAGTTTGTCACGCAGAGGGAGAAATTTGGCTGTTGAAAGAGGCTTAGTCAGTAAGTCTGCCCACTGATCTTGAGCTGGCACATGCTCAACTATGAGATTCTTGGAGAGCACTTTTTCCCTTACAAAGAATATGTCCAATTCCATATGCTTGGTCCTATTCTGTAGCACAAGATTATGAGCAAGAGTAACTGTACTAAGGTTGTCATAGAGAAGTTTGGGAGTATGAATTCTGCAGTGAAGTTCTTGAAGAAGGGACTGCACCCGTAGGGTTTCTGCAACAAGCTGAGACATACTCCTGTACGCAGCCTCAGCACTTGACCTGGCTATCAACTGCTGCTTTTTAGACCACCAAGATATCAAGTTTGGACCTAGAAAAACACAAGCTCCGGAGGTAGACCTTCTGTCGTCAGGGTCTGATGCCCAATCAACAAGCAAAGATAGAGGTTGATGGGGTGAGGCAGGCTGAATCAGCAAGCCATGATGCAGAGTGCCACTGAGGTACCTCAAAGATCCTTTTAACTGCTTTCCAATGCTCCTCCAAGGGATTAGACAAGAATTGGCAAACCTTGTTAAAAGAAAGTGAAATTTCAGGTCTGGTGAAAGTGGCATTTGAAGAGCCCCCACAACAGATCTGAATTGAGTGGGATCAGAAACAACTTCAGAACCAAGTTTAGACAATTTACTTGTGGACACCATAGGAGTAGGCATGCCATTAGCATTGAGCATGTTAATCTTAGCCATCAAATCAGTGAGATATTTAGCTTGAGAGAGAAGGAGTGAACCATTTGGCAAGTGTGTAACCTCTATGCCAAGGAAATAGTCCAACTTGCGTAGCTGTTTGAGAGAAAAATCAGTATTCAAATTCTTGATTAATGCAGAAATAAAGGAGGCAGAATTACCTGTGATGATAATATCATCAACATACACCAGCACCATTATGGTTAAGCTTGCAGTGTGAAGGAGAAATAGACTAGGATCACATTTGCTAGCATGAAAACCATGATGCAGTAAAGAACTTTCAAGCTTGTCAAGTCAGGCTCTAGGGGCCTGCTTGAGCCCATAAATAGCTTTGTTCAGCTTGCATGCAAGAGCCTTGTCAGCAGCTTCAAACCCAGGAGGCTGCTGCATATAGACTTCCTCCTCAAGGGTGCCATTTCAAAAGGCATTGTTCTCATCAATCTGTTGTATAGGCCACTTTTGAGTAACTGCAAGAGTCAAGACAATTCTGACTGTAACAGGCTTTACCCCAGGAGAAAAGGTTTCTGTAAAATCACTGCCAACTTGCTGAGGGAAGCCTTTAGCTACCAACCTGGCCTTGTATTTGTTAATGGAGCCATCAGGGTTCTCCTTCACCCTAAATACCCACTTGCAACCAATTGGCTTCCTAGAAATAGATGGTGACACCAAGGTCCAAGTCTGATTCTTTAATAATGCCTGATATTCATCTTTCATGGCCTGAGACCAATGGGGAGAAGCCAAAGCCTGACCAAGTGAAGTAGGTTCCATATGTGTGAGTAAAAGGGTAGGGTGAAGTCTAGGCTTAATAATGTCACTTTTGGCTCTAGTTTGCATGGAATGAGTATTATAGGGATGTCCAGAGGGTTGTTGGGAGGCTGAAACAGGGTTGGGAAGAGAGATATTCTCTTGGACAGAGGATGGAGAAATGGTGCTAGCTTCTGCAATATCAGATGTGAGAGGGGTGAGAGAAGAGGGAGTAATGGGAGAGTGGGAAGGAGAGTTTGCAGAAGTAGAGGAAGCATTGTTGGGAGATGTTATGATGGGAGAATTGGCAGAATTTATAGGAGCAGAAATAGGGCTGCTACAAGGACTAGTGCAGTAGGTGTAGCAGGAATATAATTGACTTGAGTTAGAGGAACAGCAGACACAGGAACTGCTGGTATAGACTAGGCAGAAGATGTAGAAGAGGGTGATGTGGATGCAGCAGGGGAAGAAGAGGGAAATAGAAGGGAGTAAGGAAATTTTGTTTCATGAAAAAGGACATCCCTGGAAATGTAAATGTGGCCATTACCAACAAGACACTTATAACCCTTATGAATGGTAGAATAGCCAAGAAATATGCACTCTTGGGACCGATAATCCAACTTATGAGAGTTATAGGGACAAAGGAACGGAAAACAGGCACAACCAAAAACTTTAAGATGAAAGTAGTCAGGTATTTTGTTAAGAAGCTTGAAATAAGGGGACTGGTTGGCAAAAGACACACAAGGTAACCTATTAATTAGGTAAGCAACTGTGACAAAAGCATAGCCCCAAAACTTGAGAGGTAAGTTAGAGTGAGCTAATAATGCTAGACCTGTTTCTACAATATGACGATGTTTACGTTCAACTATGCCATTTTGATGATGGGTATGGGGACATGTAAACCTATGAGTGATACCAAGGTTATTGAGATATTTGGTGAAAGGCCTAAATTCACCTCCTCCGTCACTCTGAACAACTTTGATTTTGCAGTTGAATTGAAGTTCAACCATGGTTTTGAATTTGACAAGCTGAGTGAGTGTGTCAGATTTAAGTCTCAAAGGGAAGACCCAAACAAATCTGAAAAAGGCATCTACACAGGTAAAAAAATAGGTGTAACCACATGAAGACTGTATGGGAGCTGGTCCCCATAAGTCACACACCACTAACTCAAAAGGTTGTGCATACACAGTAGTGGATAAAGAGGTAGGCAGTCTGTGAGATTTCCCTAAACAACAGGCAGTACAGAGTTCAGTTTGAGACTTAGGAGGTATAGGAATATTACATGTTTTCAGCACCTCTGCAAGAACTTACCTTGTATGCCACAAAACATACTTGCTATTAGGAATAATATTAGAAACAATAGGGTGCTGTAGAGACTGAGAATTAGCAAAGGTAGTAGCATGAACAAGAGGTGAATTAGCACAGAAAAAGTCACTTTTATTCATTAAAATTGAAGGAGTACAAGCAGTAATACTATTGGAATGAAGTAAAATATTACATGATGTACTAAGATTGCAATTATTTGAACCTAGAGCTACACTAGAATTGAGACTAGGGAGAGACTTGGACACTTGAGAAGAGGGACTTTGAAACTTCTATAAACCATTAGCTCCTACAACTCCATGAAGAAGCACCTCAGAAGAAGCTTGAGATTTAACAAGACAAAAGTAAGGGTGAAATTCAAAGAAAACCTGATTGTCTTGGGCAAATTTGCTAACACTGATAAGGTTTTTGGTGATGTGAGGTACTAGGAGTAAATTGTGTAGGGTGAGTGGTTTGTGAGGAGAGTTAGGTGAGGTAAAATTTATGGGACTTATAGAGTTGATAGACAAACCTTGGCCATTTCCCATGAATACTTGCTCAAAGCCAGTCATAGAGTGAGCATCAGACACATTAGAAGAATCAGGTGTAACATGATGTGACGCACCTGAATCAGGATACCACCACTGATTGTTGAAGGTTGGATCAGAACTCGCCATAAACGCTTGTGGTAAAGAAGGTCTGGATGCAGCTGGTCTAGGAGAAGCATAATCAAAAGGTGCATACACTGGTCGAGCATTCATCAAGAAAGGATTGAAGGGAGCACGTTGAGGTGAAAACTGCATAGAAGTGGATTGTGAATACCTGTTATTGAATTAGGAGAGACTAAGAGACATTTAGGTTAAACCGTGTGTTTTGAAAAACACTACGGAGACTTTATTATATATAGAGAGATTACAACTAATACTATGATATAGTCGATGTGGGACTATTCTACATACAAATATTCTTAACACCATATAAGTCAAATGCACCAAGCTTGCCACATATATAATTAGTTCTGGGACTTCGCAGAGATTTTGTAAACACATCTCCCAATTGATCATTCGAGTTGACAAAACTTGTGGTGATGTCGCCTGACTCGATCTTCTCTCTGACAAAATGACAGTCAATCGCAATATGTTTGGTCCGCTCATGGAAGACCGAATTTGAAGCAATGTGCAATGCAACTTGATTATCACAAATAAGTGTCATTTGTCTCGCTTCTTCAATTTTAAGTTCCTTGAGCAACTGTTTTAACCAAACAAGTTCACATGTTGCCATCGCCATGGCTCTATACTCTTCCTCGACGCTTGATCTTGCAACTATATTTTGTTTCTTACTTTTCCAAGATATAAGGTTTTCTCCAACAAGTACACAATGCCCAGAGGTGGGTCGTCTATCAATTGGTGATCCTGCCTAATCAGCATCGGAGTATCCAACTATCTGAGTATGTCCTTTATCTTCATACACTAAACCTTT